CATTAGTTGATGTTGCATGGGTTGTTGCATTCAAGTTGTATATAATGTTGTATGAATGAGTTGATAGTTGAGCTATTGTGATAAATACTATGTGATTGTGTTGTGATGAGTTGTTGATCACTAGGACTAGAGGAGAAGTTTTCAAAGTTGTTAATCCCATTGTGCGGATTGAGATAGTTATGGTGCTCTAAGAGCCCAATTTGTTTAAAAACCATCCAGTAACATTTATTATTTTCAATAAATTTCAAGCAATATCAAATATTTTGTCTAACACTATTCATAGCTGAAATTCATTGACTATTACAAATCTCGGGAACTCTGGCATCACACTAAGATTGGCTATTTTCATAAATTTTCAAGCAATCTACAACATTTTTGGTTATCATTTTTGGTTAACACTAATATTTTCACAAAGATTCAAGCAATATCAAATATTTTTTTCTAACACTATTCATAGCTGGAATTCGTTGACAAATTACAAATTTTGATGACTCCCACATCTCATTAAAATTTATTATTTTCATAAATTTATTAAAATTTCGTTGTGTCAAACATTTTTTATTATTTTCATAAATTTATTGAAAATCACAAGTCTCAATGTCTCCTTTATCTTATTAAGATTTATTGTGTTCAATGTATTTCAAACAATGTTTTGTATCTAACACTATTTATTAACCCATTAATGCCCCATATATTTCTAGTGGTGCTCATTTTATTTTACAAAAATTGATTTTTAAGTTATTTATGTTGTTGTATATCGGAAGAAAACAAGCCTCAGTTGCATCACAACGCGCAAAGCCAAAATGCCAGGCTCAACACAGACAGACAGCCTGCAGGTGTGCTCCATTGAAATCACCTGTAGAAGGAGCAAGTTCTTCAATGTTGACATCAGGGTGAACATTCACCCGTCCTTTAATAGATCTAGAATATCAAAGTGAAAGCTGTTAGTAAATGTTTTGTACCAAAAATATGTCAGCAGATAAATTTTGAAGACTCTAAACCTGTAGAATCTGAGCCCTTCGTCAATTGGGTGCAGAAACTTAATTTACGACCCAATGGCCCAGAATGCATAAGGGCAGGGTTGAGAATATCTGCACAACTTGTTGCTGTTATAACCTGCAATTGACAAGAATAAATGAAAATGACTCTTGAAAAATATAGTCTAAATGAACAAAATCATGTAAGTTTGGTGGCAACTGTTAAATCTAGTTTATTGATATTGGAGATGCTAACATGTAAAAGAAATGTGTTAAAATAAAACGTTATAAAAAAAGAGTAAAATTATGGGACCAGCCCTAAACATGAGATTTGAGAATATAAATTATTATGCTTTAGTACCACAGACAACATAATTCTTTGAAGCTTATTTATATCACATCAATCAAGAAAATACATAGACAATAACAAATAAAGACAAGCCTTAATTTTGTCATCACTACTGAAACCATCAAGCTAATTGAGCAATTTCAACATTGTTCATTCTAATCAGTAAAATAATTTGTTTGGATTTTCAAAATCAGGCTTAAAATTGGTTTTTAAACCAGTTTATGATTAGAAATCTAGCTGGTTCAAAGCTAGTTTAAAATCATAAATCAGTTTTTTAAACTAATTTTAACAAGATAAATAACATTAAAATTTATCTTAAATGCAGATTTGTTTATTATTTTTAAATCTGTTTAAAATTCTTGTGAAACCAATTTGGCTTTAAAATCAATTTTAAAATCAATCTAGTTTTAATATATATTTCAAATCATAAACTTATAGAAAACTATAATCAATTTTAAGACTAAATTTTAATTATAATTGTTTTAAAAAACCAGTTTGAAAAGATAACCAACTTTAAAATGGATTTAAAATGTAGACACTTTATCCCTGTTTTTATCCTGTTAACATTAAATGTAAGTATGTTGAAATGGTTATACACATAGATAATAAATTCAGGATATATAATATAAAATCATTATCACTATATAAAAATATAATATATATATATATATATATATATATATCAGAAATGACAGAAATTGGAATAAAAACATTTATATGAACAAAACCTTAGGAAGTCTTGAAAGAGGCATAAGGGCGGGGTAAAGAATATCTGCTCAGTTTGTTACTGCTATAACCTGCAATTGACAAGAATAAATGAGTATGACTATTGAATAAAATAGTCTAAATGAACAAAATCCAGTAAGTTTGGTGCCAACTGTTAAATCTAGTATATTGATATTCGAGATGTTAACATGATATAATCAACCGTTAAATCTAGTATATTGATATTCGAAATGTTAACATGATGTAAAAGAAATGTGTTAAAATAAAACACCATAAAAATAAAAAAGTAAAATTACGGGACCAGCCCCTAAACATGAGACTTACCAGACTGAAATTTTTTGAAACTTATTTATATCACATCAATCAAGAAAAAACATATAGAAAATAACAAATAACAAATAAAGACAAGCCTTAATTCTGTCATCACTACTGAAACCATCAAGCTAATTGAGCAATTCCAACATTGTTCATTCTAATCGGGAAAATAATTTGTTTGGATGTTCAAAATCAGGTTTAAAATTGGTTTTCAAACCAGTTTATGATTAGAAATCTGGTTGGGTTTCAAAGCTAGGTTAAAATCATAAATCAGTTTTTTAAATTAATTTTAACAAAATAAATGATATTCAAATTTATCTTAAATGCAGACTTGTTTATTATTTTTAAATCTGTTTAAAATTAATTGATGGTAAAAATTCTTGTGAAACCAATTTGGCTTAAAAATCAATTTTAAAATCAGTCTAGTTTTAATATATATTTCAAATCATAAACTAGTTGAAAACTATAATAAATTCTAAAACCAATTTGAAATGATAATCAACTTTAAACGGATTTAAATTATTGAAACTTTATCCCCTCTTTTTCTTTTTCCCTTGTTAACATCAAACGTAAGTATGCTTATGTGGTTATACCCACATATAACAAATTCACGAAACTTAATATAAAATCATTTTCATTATATATAAATATAAAATATATATATATATATGAAATCAAAGAAATTGGAATAAAAACTTTTATATGAACAAAACCTTAGGAAATAAACAAAAAGATTGAAAATAGAATGTACCAAATACATCACAGGCTAGAAATAATGTATTTTATAAATATGGTTAAAAACAACCAACAAAAAAAAAGAGAATAAAATACACATTCAAGAATTTCAACAAGAATGGTATTCTTGAGTTTTGATGGGTAAAAATAAAACGTCATAAAAATAAAATAAAAAAAGTAAAATTATGGGGCCAGCCCTAAACATGAGATTTGAGAATATAAGTTATTATGCTTTGGTACCAAAAACAACAAAATTCTTTGAAGCTTATTTAATATTTATATCACATCAATCAAGAAAAAACATATAGACAATTACAAATAAAGCAGGAAAATAATTTGTTTGAATTTTCAAAATCAGGTTTAAAATTGGTTTTAAAACCAGTTTATGATTAGAAATTCAGTTAGTTCAAAGCTAGTTTAAAATCATAAATCAGTTTTTTAAACTAATTTTAACAAAATAAATAATACTAAAATTTATCTAAAATGCAGACTTTTTGTTATTTTTAAATCTGTTTAAAACTCTTGTGAAACCAATTTGGCTTTAAAATCAATTTACGGTTCAAAATCAATTTTAAAATCAATCTAGTTTTAATATATATTTCAAATCATAAACTTATTGAAAACTATAATCAATTTTAAGACTAAATTTTAATTATAATTGTTTTAAAAACCAGTTTGAAACGATAACCAACTTTAAAACGGATTTAAAATGTAGACACTTTATCCCTCTTTTTATCCTGTTAACATCAAATGTAAGTATGTTGCAATGGTTATACACACAGATAATAAATTCACCATATAGAATATAAAATCATTATCATTATATATAAATATTATATATATATAAGAAATGACAGAAATTGGAATAAAAACATTAACAAAACCTTAGGATGTCGTGTCCGATGTTGATATAGTGACAAATGGATTATCAGATTCTTGCATCTCATTGAAATAAAGGGGAGGGGAGGGGGAAACACACATAAGATAAAAGCCTCATTACACACAAATTCTCTAAAAAAAACAACTTCAACAATGAAAATAACAAAAAATAAACAAAAAGATTCAAAAAAGGATGTACCAAATATGTCAAAGGCTAGAAATAATGTATTTTATAAATATGGTTAAAAACAACAAACCAAAAAAAAAATACAAAGAATTTCAACAAGTATGGTATTCTTGGGTTTCCAGGGGAAAAAAATTACAACTTTAGAAAATGAATAGCTTTTCAATTTAAATCAAGAAGGGATGCAACATTGAATTGTTCAAGAATGTTGAAGAACTTTGATTATTTTAGACCAAATCTAGGACCCTAAAGCCGGAAAATATCGGGGCAAGCAGTTATTCATACATGTGTAGAAAGTAATTCACCTCAAGGTGAGAGAACATTCCCCAGAAATGAGCACTCCGGTCAATTTATAGAAAAAGTAATACAGATAAAATTAAACCTAAAATAAAATGTCAACAATACTCATATAATTAAGTAACTTTTAGTACTAGGATAAACTCTGCAAATTAAATTTAGAATAAAGCAGTAGTCAAAAAAATCTTGAAAGTTTAATTTCAAATTACTTACCACGGACAGAAAACGATCACACACCAGCCTAGCCCAACACCCCCAAGTCCCAACACCTGAAATACAACGGGATCATTGATATTTGCATACAGCGGATTAGTTTTCTCTGTCTTCATTCTTGTTCTTGCATTAAATCAAAATCATGACCATTGAAATTTGCATACTTGTATCCTTTGTCATCATTCTTGTTCTTGCATGCAATCAAAATCAAATAAATAAAAAATCAGCAATCTTGAAAACAACAAAATGCAAGTTCAAGAAAGAACCAAGACCCAGACAGAGGAATCAAAAACAGCAATAAGGACAGCCAGGATTCAATCTCATCGCACTCCAAAGAGAAGAGAAAAAAACATAAAAACAAGAATCACAAAAAATAGAAACAAGAATAGAGTTCAATTCAAAATCAGAGAAGGAAAAGCAATTACAAGGTAAAGAAAAGAAAAGCAAGAGATGGAAGAGGTATTGTGTGTGGCGAAACAAAGTTCAAATAACAAAGAGGAAAATGAGAATCAGAGAAGCAAAATCAATCAATGTATGAAAGGTTCTACTTTACTTGTGCATCTTCTTCGGCTTGTTTGTGTTGTTTTGCTGTCGTTTCTTTGCGCGGCCATTTCAACTTCGAAGAGAAAAGAAGCAGCCGAAAGGCGCTACAAAAATCAACTCACTAATAAGAACATTTAAAGTATAGAGAGACAATAATTTGTTTGTGACGTGTTAATCCCTTATATATTAAATAAAAGAGACCACCAAAGAATAAGAGGTATACAAATAGTCTTGCTTACCTTCATATAAGTATATTGGAGGCCTGCTTAGTATCACAAGCTGTACACAAGTGTATACAATAAGGTAATATAATCATGCAATTATATAAGATACTTAATAATTAGATAAGATTTTTAATAAGTATAAATGTACTCATAATTCATGTATATATTTGATCTCGTGTATATTAATTCTCTGTGTAAGGTAAAAATACTCTGCCCAATCAGATCACTCCTTTAATAATGCTAATTATAATTGTTCCTATACATGCACAAAAAATTGTATTTAAGGGACACATAAGAAACAAACATACCAATATGCCTTTTTGACAATAAGAAAGTGAATCTAGATAACTTAGCTGAAACTTCTTGAGATTGTCTTTACATGCCTCAAAAATGTGTCCATGATTGAAATTCCAAAGCTGAAATCAAATTCAAGTGCAAAAAGTAAGGCAAATAAAACTATCTTAAAATTAGTGCAAAAGTGAAACTATCCCAAAATCTTAAAATTCACCGATCTCCTGAGACCCTCCACCTACATATAACAACAAACAAACAAAAAAATTGCAAGAATTGCAAAATGCATACTTCTCTCCCGCAACATGTGAGACAATGAGTAAGCATCAAAAAATAGCACAGTTTAATTTTTGTAGTTTAAAAACTTAATAAGTAGTTGAAGTCAATCAAAATAACAGTTATTCATGCATAATACGTGTAAAAATAAATTCGCTTATGCATCGTGAATCAGACTCGATCAAAGACTGTTTGAAAACTAGCACTGAACCAAAAGAAATTAGGAAAATCCTTAACAAATTGCAATACACGAAGTCTTGCCATCTTCACGAAGTCTTGCCATCTTCACCGCGACTATTTCACAAGTATCATACTGCTTCACTGCAACAAAAATAAAAATAAAAAATGAATGATAATTTTTTATTGATGGCAACAATCTCAAAGGTCATGTTTCAGATTATTTATACATAAGGAGTTAATTTTCATAAACCATATGTGATTGGTTAACATTATTTACTTAAATCTAATATTGATGTTTTAATTTATTGTTTTCAGAGTGAACTTTCATCCTTCCTTGAATAGATCTAGAATATCAAAGTGAGAGAAGTCAATAAATGTTTTGTACAAAAAATATGTCAGCAGATAAATTTTGAAGACTCTAATCAGGAAAATAATTTGTTTGGATTTTCAAAATCAGGTTTAAAATTAGTTTATTGATATTGGAGATACTAACATGTAAAAGAAATGTGTTAAAATAAAATGTCATAAAAAAATAAAATAAAATAAGTAAAATTATGGGACCAGCCCTAAACATGAGATTTGAGAATATAAATTATTATGCTTTGGTACCACAAACAACAAAATTCTTTGAAGCTTATTATATCACATCAATCAAGAAAAAACATGTAGACAATAACAAATAAAGCAGGAAAATAATTTGTTTGGATTTTCAAAATCAGGATAAAAATTGGTTTTAAAACCAGTTTATGATTAGAAATCCAGTTGGTTCAAAGCTAGTTTAAAATCATAAAACAGTTTTTTAAACTAATTTTAGCAAAATAAATAATATTATAATTTATCTAACATGCAGACTTGTTTTTTATTTTTAAATATGTTTAAAACTCTTATGAAACTAATTTGGCTTTAAAATCAATCTAGTTTTAATATATATTTCAAAATTCAAATCATAAACTAGTTGAAAACTATAATCAACTTTAAAACTAAATATTAATTATAATAGTTTTAAAAACCAGTTAGAAACGACAATCAACTTTAAAACATATTTAAAGTATCGTCACTTTCTCCCTCTTTTTATCTTGTTAACATCAAATGTAAGTATGCTGCAATGGTTATATACGCAGATAATAAATTCACAAAACATAATATAAAATCATTATCATTATATATAATTATAAAATATATATATTATATATACATATATATAAACATAAGAAATGACAGAAATTGGAATAAAGAAATTCAACCACCAAAACATGTAAAAAAAATTGTGATTTAAAGAAATTCATAACCAAAATATATTTTGATAATTTTAGAGGGGCTAAACATATTTTACCATTATCCAAGTGACATCTAAGAAAGCTGCAAGACAAGTAATGGTCAGCAAGGTCACTAGAATAAGACCTTTGCCCAAGCATTTCTTTTTTATAGATTTGCATGCTGCTGAACAATCCTCCTATGTCATTGGCTCCAGACCTTGGCTTCAGTCATCCCCTAGCAAATCCTTGGCCTCAGACCTAGAACAGAAGAGGGTTAAGAGGAAAAAAGACTTTCAACCACCAAAACATGCAAAAGAATTGTGATTTAAAGAAACTCATAACCAAAATATGTTGAATACATACCTCCAAACCCATCTTACAATATAATGAATATTGTTCATGAGAAAACAATGTGTTAATGCAGGGTCTTTATACTGCTCTGATTTTCCATCTAAATTGGTTTGCAAAGCTTGCATTATTCGCAGTTACATATGCTAGCTGTGAAGAATCATCACCACTTTCAAAATCCAGAAAAAGTTGCTTCAAGGTGGATTGATAGCTGAAAAGTTTAAAGAATTTTGATCAGGTTAAATATGTGATCAGATCTATGATAAAGATCCTGAAAAAAATTACCCACACACATTAGAGAAGAGTACAGCATTATCCTACTTACAAAGGGAATGAAAACTGAACTTTAAGAAACAGTTTCTCTTAAATATAAATAAATAAAATAGAAGAATGTGATTGCACAATTCCCTCATAGACATCATCATTTTATAATAAGGAAAATAAAATTCAAGTTCAAAAAGTTGGAAATATTTGATTAGCTCAAGACAGATCTAATCACTCGTTATTTTCTAGTTCTACCCTATATCCTAAGACTGCTACCACAATGGCACAACATTTGGTATTTCAGATTCATCAAAAAAAATTAATTCTTTCCTTTAGATTCTGAACAAATTCTATCAATAAGATATCCTTTCAATAAAACTACAAAAGAAACACCTAGAAACTAAGTGACCAAACATGTAACATGGCATGTCAATCTCTCAGCATATCTAACAAAGAAATGCACTAAAATGTCCATGAGCAGAATAAATCATAACTGTAAAATAAATTTTAAAAATCTTAACATGTAAGGAATGATAATAAATAATGACCAACAAATTTGTCATCTCATCAATGAACACGGAAAAAAATGTTAGAAGATATGGCTACGAAATTGGGATCAGACAACACTCAATTTACTCAAACACCAAACTTACTAAAAAAAAACCTCACATAGTTAATCACAGAGCGTGTCAAAGGATGGACAGTTCCATCTATAACTGCAGTCTTTCTAGCATCTTTCTGGATTGCCACTTCAAATTCTTCAAAGGTCTCCTGGGTTCTTTGTGCAAGATGTTTTGTCAAACTAGTTGCAGCTTCTTTTATTCCAGAGCAAGCTTTGCCTTTAAGAAGAGTTCCAATCTCCAAAATTTAAGGAAATTGTTTATTGCAAGATTATAACACTACTGCAAAATGCCTTGTTCTTGTTTTATGAACGAAACAAAACAACTACCCAAACCTAATATGTATAGGATAGTCAACTATATAACATCTAGAGTGGTGACTACAAATAAATTAGAAATGCAAGTGAAAAGTCACTGACATGTATAGGCACTAAAACTTTTATGTGATAAATTAGAAAAGTCATGACCACTAAACATAAAATAAAACTTTACAACTTGACCTCTAAGATTTACGAAACCAATACACAAAAGAGATAGCATCAAGATTCCTGATTTTGCATTTCAGAAGCCATACCTCTGAATGAAGCTCTTGCATTATTTCATACACAATACATATAGACGTGTCAAAACAAGTAAAGACATTACTCATAAAGAAGCAACTGAAAGGCTACCTGTCCTTAATGAAGCACCACTACTGCTTCCAGTTCCACCATCACTGCCACCAGTACCACTCCCACCACCTGATGAGCTAAGGCCCTGAATAGATAAGCAACGGAAGAATCTGCCGAGAAAAGAATCAGAATTAAAAAAATACACAACTTTAACAAATATTAATGTTAAGAAGAAATAGAGCATTCCCATGAAACCAAACATCAGGAAATATTAAAACAATCTACTAGAACACCTTAATTATAAAATATAAAAAAAAAGGTAAAATATGTTTTTGTTCCTGTTCCTTCGAAAACATTTCTAGTTCGGTTTTAGTACTTCTAAAATTTTGTCCTATTTTAGTCCCACAAATTTGGAAATGCAGTTTTTTTATCTTAAAAGTAGCTTAAATAGCATCTTAAAACAATTTTTAAGCACTACCTAAGTACTTGGAGGACTAAAAGTGATGAATTTTTAAATTTGGGGACTGGAATAGAACAAAAAAAAATCAAGACTAAAAGCAAATTTCGATAATTTTAGAGGGACTAAATATATGTTATCATTATCCAAGTGACATATAAGAAAGTTGCAAGACATGTAATAATCAGTAAAGTCACTAGAACAAGACTTTTTCCCAAGTATTTCTTTTGTATTGATTTGAATGTTGCTGAACAATCCTCCGATGTCATTGTACCCAGTCATACCTTAGCAAATCATTGTCTTCAGACCTAGAATAGAAGAGAGTTCAGACGAAAAAAGACTTTAAACCACCAAAACATGCAATAAAATTGGGATTTAAAGAAATTTATAATCAAAAATGTTGAAAACATACCTCCAAACTAATCTGACAATATAATGAACATTGTTCATGAGAAAAAGATATGTCAATGCAAGGTCTTTATACTGCTTTGATCTTCCTTCTAAATTTGTTTTCAAGCTTCCATTATGTGCACTGTTACAGATCCTAGCAATGAAGAATCATCACCACTTTCAAATTCCTCAAAGAGTTGCTTCAAGGTGGATTGGAAGCTGCAAAGTTTAAAGAATTCTGATCAGGTCAAATATGTGAAAAGTACACAAGCTTGAGCATTATCCTTCTTACAAAGGGAATGAAAACTGAACTTAAAGAAATTGTTTCACTTAAATATAAAAATATTAAATAGAAGCATGGTACGGTACAATTCCCTCATAGACATCATCATTTTATAATAAGGGAGATAAAACTCCAGTTCAAATAGTTGGAAATCTTTGATTAGCTCGCTCAAGACAGATCTAATCACTCATTATTTTCTAGTTCTATAAAACAATGAAAATACATATATATGTACCACATGTCTTATTAAAAATAAGGAGAAAAGGCCTTTAGTTGTCATCTTGTAATTCAATTTTTTTTTAACTACAAGAGCACGAAGAGAGAGTTAAAACTATTCAAAAACAAATGTCAGTGTCACTTAATTATTTTTTAGGAATTAAAAACAAATCAATATCCTTCATCACAAACACAGTCACAAATCACAATTCACGTTTGTAAAAATCCAAAAAAAAAAAAAATCAGCTAAAATAAGGACATTTCATCAATCCACCACTCCACGCACACTCACCAATAACATCACCATTACATGATTTTAATTTTTACCTTCCATCGGCACATGGTCACCGGAGTGAGGAACAAAGAGAAAAACCCTAACAAGCAACAAAGACAATCAAGAATTAAAAAGAAATGAAACAAGAAATTGATTTGAAAAGTAAAGAAGCACAAACAGTTCGTAACATCACTTTACTTTCTACCTTCCATCTACACAACGTCACCAGATTGAGAAACTGTAATATCCATATCCACCGGTCTTTGCACCGCACAAAAAGAAAAACCCTTTCCAGCAACAAAGACAAAAAAAAAAGAATCAGAAACAAATGAAACGAGAATCAGAAACAAATGAAACAAGAATCAGAGAAGATGCGGTGCATAACATCACTTTAATTTCTACCTTTCAAAGAAGGTCACCAGCGAGGTACGGTAAAATTCATGTCCACCGTTTCTGCACCACACAAAAAGAACAAGAATCAAAGAAAAACTCTGACAAGTAACAAAGACAAAGAAGAACAAAAAACAAGAACAAGAAAAGAATATGCAGAAACAGAAGAAAAGAGAAAGAAGAGTCTAGACATCTAACCAAAGATGAGGCATTAGTGTGTGCAAGTGCTATGGAAGAAAGACTCTTCGAAAAGAGAATCTTGACACTGGAAACGAATGAAGCGTAAGAGAAGAGAGTGACTCTCGAGAGTGGAAATGAGAGAGGAGAGTTGCATATAGAGTGAGACGAGAGAATGACACAACATTTATATAAAGAGAGGTGACGGTCACGACGCATTTATATATAAATAAATAAATAACACATGACGTGCACAATATATAATCTTTTAAATAAAACACTTAATAAGTTTTTTTAAAAAATATTAAAATATTTATTTATTTATATTTTAATTCTCAATATTTTATGATGTTCTTAATATTTTAATTTTTAAAAATAAAATACAAACTTTAATAGAATTATAATTTTTTTTATCCTTTAAATATATATGACATTATCAATTTAAAATTTTTCACTTTGTTTTGTTAAATTGTTTATGTTATGTTTCTATTCAATATTCTGATTTTTTATATATAATTTAGCAAAATATATAATCGTCTATATTATCATATTTTTTATTAAATAAATAAATAAATCTTCACAAAATTAATTAAAAAGGACAAATAATTATTTTTTTATTTTTATTTTATTACTAAAAAATAAAAATAAAAAATGTTATAAATATGTTCATAAAAATCGTATAAAATTTAATTTAATTTTTTATATTTGTAAATAGAAGAATGTCTATTTTTATTACATAAATAAAAGACTAATGATAACCAACACAAAATTGGAAGAAAACGAAAATAGAAAAATATAAAGATATTATTCACGAGAATACATATATATATATATATGTGATTGAATTTAATTAAATAAAAAACTTAAAGAAGTTAAAATCATTGTATTAAATATGACTTATATATCAATGATGTAAATATCAATTATATTTAATACTATGTTAAGGAAAATCATTAAGCTAAATAATTAGTAATTGTATCATATATGTAATATTACATCTTAGAATGTGGACAAAATCACAAATGCAGAGTTACTAGGTCGTCGATTTTTAATTTTTTGTTATTTACATTTTAAATAAGTAGCATCAATTGCTTATTTTTATATGTTTAGCAAAAAAAAATTGAGAGAAAGTATTGTAGCAACATCTTTGTCTTTAATTTTTAAAAATGATTTAAATATAATAAATATATTAATTTGTTATATAAATTTACAATAATTTACATATTAAAGAATACTAAATATTATATTTTGGAATATAAACCTATAACCATTTGCATATAAAATTTCTTATTTACATATAAAATTTAACAAATATAAAATCATGTATATTTTTAAAATATATAAAAATATAAATATTTTTTCTTATTTACAATATAAAATATTTATCTAAAAGAAATTTTAAAATATTTTTCACCTATAATTTTGTTACATGAAATTTTGGGGTGCAAAAGGAAAAGATTGTTACATGAAACAAAAGTTTGTATCATTTCGGTAAAGAGGTATCAATGATCAAATAAAATTCACACTCAAAGGTTCTTAAACAAGATGAGAGTTTTTCTTATTTTAAGGTTTGTTTTTGTGACAACAAGATTATGAAAATCCAAAGGTAAACACTAGAGATACACATAGTTAGAAATTAGGGTGAGTAAAGTGTAAACCTTTTTCAGAGTTCATTATGAACTTCCATCTGGTTCAATAACTATTTAATGTTTTCCTAACAACTTTTTTAGACTTTTTATTTAAATATTACAAAAAAAAATTATCAAAATATTATATCTTAAAATATTTTTACCAAAGTGTTGTTTTTACTATTTATATTGAGAATTTGACCTTTTATTACCCAATTTCTCACGTAAGTTTTTTTTTTCATCTATGCATGGCCAAATTGGTTAACCGGTAACCAATTTCTCAATTGTAGTTATTTTTTTGAATTTCTTTTTTATAATATTATTATTTTATAATATATATTTTTCTATTTAATTTAGTAGCATGAAAAATTAGTTAATATATAAATAATTTTTATTTTTTTTTATTTTAATAGTATATTTGTTTCTTTTATAAATACAATACTTTTAATAACGATTAATAAATTTTGTAATACGTGTATTTCATTATTTTTTAGAAGAAAGTAAAAATGTTATTTTAATAAACATTTTTAATACATTATAGTCAATAAAAACAAGTTTTCAAATAACATGAAATTATTAAAATTGACTTTAAATCAAAATAACATAAAGGATAAAATGAAAAGTTTAACAACAAAAATATAAATTAGTATTATTAGTTGGAAGTTTCCACACGATAAAAATATTTTTCTTAGCATGACTAGGATTCATATACATGGAATATCTTTTTAGTTGATCAGGTTCTCTCATATTCATTTTTTTTTTTTGTATATATGCAAGGATTTTGGACAACTTTTATTTATTTATTTATTTCCATATATGAATTGGGAGAGACTTGTGGTTCATTACATTATGACCAATATTATTCATTGCACATTGAAAATGTATTTCATGTGCAAACAATGTATGTAAAATGTGTAATAATGGTGAACACACTTACTAGTAACAATGACAGCTGAGCAAGACATGTGTTTTTCACAATATCACCACATTTCATCTAGATTGACTGTGAATTATCAAACTGATTGTTCCACTTTTGGGTTAAGCATCTCCTGCACTAGGAAAAGACATATCACATCTGTCAAACTCAAACACATGGTGAGAGTTTGCTTTTGTTTGTGTCAGTTAAGACCTTGTTTGATATTTATGAGTATACTTATTAGATCTTAATTAAGTTACAACTTTTCTCTGTCTTTGATTGAATTAGTTGTCACACATTTGATAAGCAATGTTCTAATTGGTAAATTTTTTATTTTCTATGTAATAAGTCAATTGTCTCTCCTAGATTTGTGGTCACATGTCAAGATCTTTAACCTCTATCTCATGTGAGAGTCCATTTATCTTGTAGGATTTGATCAACTCATTTAATAACATTCACTCTTTAGTCCAGGCCTTGGATTATTGTAGTATTAATTGAATGTAGCTCAGTCATGCCATATGTTAGGGAATTTAAACCACAAAAATCATTAAATTGACAAATAGTTGATGAAACTAATTATTTTGATTACTTTTATAACTTAGATTACCAACTTATTTTCTTTTGTCCACATTTTTTAATTGCATCATGAAATTTGGTGCGATATATCAAATATAGAACACAAACACAATTTTTTGATGTCCACTCATTATCAGGTATTAAATACACACTTAATTGAATACGTAAAAATCTAAGATTAAGCAACGACCATTTTAGTACTAATGGACACATGCATCATTAATTATTATTATTTATGAATTTGATTTTAAAGTATCTATGAAAGTTAATTATCTATGTTTTTTTTATATTTTAAATTATGTGTGGTGTGTGCTATGAATTTCATTTCAAAGTGCAAGAGAAAATTAATCTATATTTTTTATTTACAATGTAATTGATCTTTTAAAATCTTGTTTTCAATGTGTGTGTACTCTTTCATTTGTATTGCATAATGAATTTATATATCTTTAAATTATTTATAATTTCTTCTTATAAAATTTTAAAGTTATAAAATAAAATATATTATTTATATATTAACTGGTTTTTCAAGCTAATTAATTAAATAGAAAATATATATTATAAAAGTAATAATATTAAAAAAATTAAAGTTGAAAAATTGGTTACTAATTATAGCTAATTCCCTTTGTTTAGTTATAGAGACACGACTCTGCTCTCCTCTATAAGATAGAAGTGGCAGGACAATCAACTTTGAATAAGAATTGTCGGGAAACCATGCAAAAATATATAGGTCTTTTTAATAGTTTGGAACGCCCGTTCCAGTTTGAAAACGGCCCGTTCTGGGCTACTAAATCACCTTTATTGGACTTTGAGTCTTTATATAATTTGTGAAAATCAAGGTGTTACAAAATAAATAATACAAAATATAAGCAAACAAAGTAGATATTGTAAATCTAAGAGTGATTCTGTTATGTTTTTATTCAATGTTCTCATTTTTAAAAATTGCATAAGTTTTGAGAATCTATCGATTCATGCAGTAGACAATAGAGTTCTAAAATATTTGTCATAAAATGTACAATAGAGTTCTATCAATTTTTATAGTCAAAAATTGATGCAAAAAGAAAATTTATATACAAAACTCTCCTAACAACACACATGTACAAAAATACAAGCATAAAAAATGTAACATCACTGCTTGCAGTTTACTGTAAAAAACAATGTACACCTTCATTTTATCTTCTAACTTTTCACAACAATCATTTTACATTCATTATCTGCCTAACCCATGTGGGATGTTAACTCACAAACCTCAACCTAACTGGACACCTCAAGGCTGATGTCTACAAGATTGGAAATTTATGAATGTGATTAATAGCATAAGAACTAAATATACATAAACATGCAATGCCCAAATACAAAATGTAGTTTGTAATAAACCATGGGATATTATTCCAACACTTGAATAGAACAAACTCTGCTTATATCCAATCAGAATTTAGATGTCTGAACTATAATCTGATCTTATAACATGTACAGAAAATCAATTAAAAACAAAACTATAGAGCTATTCTAAGAGCAGCTAAAAAAAACACTAAAGTCTCTACAAATTATAATTAGTTGGCTAAATGTAGACATACATCACAACATTCTCACTCAAAAAATCTGCAGGTCCACATGCAAAGAATGAAAGAATCCTGAAACTCTAACTAGCTATTTCACCAATTAAACAGCTCAACATTCAATCTAATGAAAAAATATTGAAAAAATAATTACCCACTTTACCAATCCAACAAGTCTACACAAAGTAGAGAAATAATCTTAAAAGTTTAAAATCAAATTACTCACTTGCCTGATCAATCGAGTCCACCAACATGACAAGACAATTCTGAGCTAATTAACAACAAGCAAGATCACAACCCACCCAACCCTAGTCCCGACACTTAAAACACAACATGCAAGAATACGAAGAGAGTTAAAAGAGCTATCCATAATATATCATGACACTACTTCCTTATTCTTTAGCAATTAAAAATAAATAAATACCTCTCATCAGACGATCGCAAACCACAATTCACATTTGTAAGAATTAAAAAAAGAAATATCAACTAACTTTTCAACCTGTTATGAGCATGCTATATTAAACATCCAGAGGAAAACTGTTACTCATGTTAACATTGCACATGTAGTGAAAAATATGATATTTATACCCAAAATAAAAATATTAATTCAATTTATAAATAAATGCTTATAAATGCTCGGATACAATTTATTAATGCTTATTAACTATTACTAGTGGAAAAAAAACAAAACACCTCGAAGCACTTTTAGTATAGACAACAAAAAAAGGGTAATCTCTTCAATAGTGCCTATTGAAAAAGTAAAAATAAATAAATAAATAAGACACTACATGCTGCCATTATAAAAGAAAATTAAAAAATTCATTCACATAATTTGTATAGTTATTAAAAATTATGTATAATTATTAAGGATAAAATGAAAAAGATAAAAGAGAATACCAATTAAAAAATTCCTTTAATTAATAGTATTATAGATATAAATATAGATTGATAAACATTAAGACCGGGCAAAACTTTGGCTAGTTTCGTCAACGACTCATTTTGGAACAAGTATTCCTATTGCAAGACAATTTGACGAGTTTACACTCTTATATGGCTGCGGCTTCCAGAAATGTAAATTAAAAAATCCTAAATGAAATTTGATGCCAGAATATTACACCAATTCCAGAAATGCCATTGCCCTCAAGACTGCTAAAAATTCAGTCATATAATCACAAACTTGTATCCGTGGCAGAAATACATTTCCCTTCAAGACTAAATCAATTCTCTTGACTTTAACCCACATTCAACATCAATCCAACACTAGCATAGCTGCAACCTTTGTACATTGAAAAATGCAAAACTTCTGTAATTGAGTTTCCAAACACACCCTAAACACTACGGCAGCAAATCAAGCAAACTATACAAAATCATTCACCATCTTATCACAAAAAAAAAAAAAAAATAACTCCTTTTCAGCTACCAAATACAACCGGGTGAATTAGAACAAGTGAGAGTGAGAAAAGAAACCAATCCAATATAAAGGCATTAACCAATAACTGCCAAATACCATCATGCTAAATTTAAAATAGACCTATCTTAAGTTATCAGCAATTATTTTACCGCTTGTTTCACTCGTGTTTTTTCCTTCAAAATATTCACCCAACATTCGGTCTAAATCTTCTGGTGTGTATTTGATGTATTTCTGAGGATTCTTTTCCCAGTCTCCACTAGAGGCCAGCGACACAGTAGGTTCCCAATTATGCACTTATTGCAAGGTACTAATAAATCATACAAAAACCACAAGGCATCAAAAGCAAACATAAGTAAATGTATTTTTGTTTCAATGGGGAAAAAGACATCATTTCATATTCATGGATACAATTATTCCTCTACATATTAAATAGGAATGACATAAATTAAAATGAGAACCCACCCAAAACGATTGACAAACGATCTATAGGCTACCAACAAGACTTCAGCAACTACAAGCCTGAGAGACTCTTGCAGATCGATGTCAGGAACTGTCCACTGAGATTATCTCTAATGGAGTTCCTCAAACATAACATTCAATTTCTTAAACCTAATAACATAATACATGTAGACATGTCAAAACAAGTAAAGACATTACTCATAAAGAAGCATCTGAAAGGCTACCAGTCCTAAATGAAGCACCACTACTGCTTCAAGTTCCACCATCGCCGCAACCAGTATCACTCCTGCCACCTGATGGGCAAAGGCCCTAAATAGATAAGCACTGATCAATCTGCTGAGAAAAGAATCAAAATTAAAAAAAATAGACGAATTTAACAAATATTAATGTTAAGAAGAAATAGAGCATTCGCATGAAACCAAACATCAGGAAAAAAACAAATCAATCTACTAGAACACCTTCATTGTCAAAAACAAAAGGGTAAAATAAGTTTTTGTTCCTATTCCTTCCAAAATTTTTCTAGTTCAGTTTTAGTCCTTCTAAAATTATCTTATTTTAGTCCCTGAAATTTTGGAATGCAGAGTTTTTTTATCTTCAAAGTAGTTTAAATAGCTACTTAAAACCATTGTTGAGTTGAGCATTACCAATGTACTTGGAGGACTAAAATGATGCATTTTTAAATTTGGGGGACTGAAATAGGACGAAAAAATAATTAAAGAGACTAAAAGCGAATTTTGATCATTTTAGAGGGGCTAAACATATTTTACCATTATCCATGTGACATCTAAGAAAGCTGCAAGACATGTAATGGTCAGCAAGGTCACTAGAAGAAGACCTTTGCCCAAACATTTCTTTTTTATTGATTTGCATGCTGCTGAACAACCCTCCTATGTCATTGGCTTCAGGCCTTGGCTTCAGTCATCCCCTAGCAAATCCTTGGCCTCAGACCAAGAACAGAAGAGGCTTAAGAAGAAAAAAAGACTTTCAAGCACCAAAACATGTAAAAAATTGTGATCTAAACAAATTAATAACCAAAATATATTTTGATAATTTTAGAGGGCCTACACAAATTTTACCATTATCCAAGTGACATCTAAGAAAGCTGCAAGACATGTAATGGTCAGCAAGGTCACTAGAACAAGACCTTTGCCCAAGCATTTCTTTTTTATTGATTTGCATGCTGTTGAACAATCCTCCTATGTCGTTGGCTTCAGTCATCCCCCAGCAAATCCTTGGCCTCAGACCTAGAACAGAAGAGGGTTAAGAGGAAAAAAGACTTTCAACCACCAAAACATGCAAAAAAATTGAGATTCAAAGAAATTCATAACCAAAATATGTCGAATACATACCTCCAAACCCATCTTACAATATAATGAATATTGGTTTGCAAAGCTTGCATTATTCACACAGTTACATATGCTAGCTGTGAAAAATCATCACCACTCTCAAATTCCAGAAAAAGCTGCATCAAAGTGGATTGATAGCTGCAAAGTTTAAAGAATTTTGACCAGGTCAAATATGTGAAGATCAGATCTACGATAAAGATCCTGAAAAAAATTACCCACACGCATATTAGAGAAGAGTACAGCATTATCCTTCTTACAAAGGGAATGAAAACTGAACTTTAAGAAACAGTTTCTCTTATATATAAATAAATAAAATAGAAGAATGGGATTGCACAATTCCCTCATAGACATCATCATTTTATAATAAGGAAAATAAAACTCAAGTTCAAATAGTTGGAAATATTTGATAGGCTCAAGACAGATCTAATCACTCATTATTTTCTAGTTCTACCCTATATCCTAAGGCTGCTACCACAATGGCACAACATTTGGTATTTCAGGTTCATCAATAAAAATTAATTCTTTCCTTTAGATTTTGAACCAATTCTATCAATAAGATATCCTTTCAATAAAACTACAAAAGAAACACCTAGAAACTAAGTGACCAAACATGTAACATGGCACGTCAATCTCTCAGCATATCTAACACAGAAATGCACTAAAATGTCCATGAGCAGAATAAATCAGAACTGTAAAATAAATTTTAAAAATCTTAACATGTAAGGAATGATAATAAATAATGACCAACAAATTTGTCATCTCATCAATGAACACTGCAAAAAAATGTTAAAAGATATGGCTACAAAATTGGGATCAGACAACACTCAATTTACTCAAACACTGAACTTACTCAAAAAAATACCTCACATAGTTAATCACAGAGCGTGTCAAAGGATGGACAGTTCCATCTGTTACTGCAGTCTTTATAGCATCTTTCTCGATTTCCACTTCAAATTCTTCAAAGGTCTCCTGAGCTCTTTGTGCAAGATGTTTTGTCAAACTAGTTGCAGTTTCTTTTATTCCAGAGCAAGCTTTACCTTTAAGAAGAGTTTCAATCTGAAAAATGTAAGGACATTATTTATTGCAAGATTATAATACTACTGCAAAATGCCTTGTTCTTGTTTTATGAACGAAAAAAAAAACAACTACCAAAACCTAATATGTATCATGATAGTCAACTATATAACATTTAGTGTGGTGACTAGTGTAAAGTGTAAACCTCCATCAATTAGAAGTTGAAAGTAAACACTGGCAGATGACACTAACACAGGCCCATTCTAATGACAGAATTATAATGCCTTAATTGAAGTAAACACTGTGGCACCTATTAGAGGGTTTTTTTTTATATTTACTAAACAGTTTTTCTCTTGAATGGTATAAATAATTTAAAAGTGGCAATAGTATGGTTCCAAACTTTTACTTAATACTTTTAAAGAAAAAATGTCCGTATACATGAAATATCAAGAGTGTAGTACCCTTTCATGGTAGTCACAACTCACAATTTATCAAAGTCAACCATAATAATAATGTTAAAACATAAGCCAGAGTACAAGACCAAAGAATTGGAGTTCAGTGATTGAGACAAATTTCAGGATTTTATGATAGAGCATTCTTTCTTAAAAGAATAATAATTAAATTAAAGGCCTTTTACTAATAGTAGTCTCATCATAGACAACTGAAAAGGAAACTACAAATAAACTTGTAATGCAAGTGAAAAGTCACTGACATGTATAGGCACTAAAACTTTTATGTGATAAATTAGAAAAGTCAACTGAACATAAAACAAAATTTTACAAATTGACCACTTAAGATTTTGGAAACCAATACACAAAAGAGATAGCATCAAGATTCGTGATTTTGCATTTCAAAGGGAGGGAGAGAGATACAAACACAGAGATAAAGACACATGCAAACTTGTATCCAAAAACAGGCAGATAAAGCACACATACACAAATAAAGGCAAACACGGAGACCAAGATAAATCACACAAAGACAAGGCATAGGCACAGATAGACACCGGCACAAACACATCACATGTAAAGAGACACACAGACAAACATAAACAGCAAGCATACACATAAACAAAGAGATGAAGACATAGCATCCACACAAACACAAATACAAGGCATAGATATGCACACACATAAAGACACAAACACACAAAGACATACAAGCAGGCACACACATAAACATACAAAGACAAAGACAAACACACAAAACACTCATAGAGATAGAGCATAGACATAAACAAAAGAGATAGGGCACAAACTCACATACTTTAAAGATAATCAAAAAGAAAAAAGTGTGAAAGAATACAAAAGATATCAAGTTCTAGAGTCACAAACAACATGCGCACATACACTTCAAAAATAATCAATGGCAAAAAGGTGTAAAAGAAATAACGAATGGGTTACAATTTGTTTGTACAACTAATGATGGGCTACTATCACAAAGACCAAAACCCAAAGCTTAGCTTATGAAAATCATGATCCGGCAGGAAAAAAAAATCAGTTGGTCTGAAATTGAGCTTCTGCTGCAAGGAATATCAAAGTTACCAACAATTTTAAATATGTTTCAACTCGTAAACCAGTTGTAAACTATAATCAATTTTAAAACTAAATTTTAATTATAATAGTTTCAAAAACAAGTTTGAAACGATAATCAAGTTAAAACTGATTTAAATTATAGACATTTTATCCCTCTTTTTACCTTGTTAACATCAAATATAAGTATGCTGTTATGGTTATGGTTATACCCACAGATAATAAATTCACAGAACATAATATAAAATAATTATCATTATATATAAGAAGTGAAAGAAATTGGAATAATAAATATGAACAAAACCTTAGGCAGTCTTGTCCGATGGCGTCTTGCAATGCCACTGCTTCTTCCTCTGGCATCTCTTCGACATGACAAAAAGATTTTCGGTTTGTTGCATCTGATTGAAATAAAGGGGAAAAACACAAAAAAAAACCAACTTCTCTAAAAAAAACTACTTCAACAATGAAAATAAAAAATAAATAAAGAAAAAAATATTTGAAATATGATTTTACCATATTTTCCCAATTACACCAAAAGCTAGGAAGAGTGTATTTATAAATGTGGTTAAAAAGCAACTCAACAAAGAAAAAATAAAATAGACATTCAAGAATTTCAACAAGAATGGCTTTTCTTGAGTTTTGAGGAAAAAAAGAAATTGCAACTTTAAAAACATCAAATAGCTCTTCAATTTCAATCAAGAAGGGGTGCAGAATTAATTTGTTCAACAATGTTTTCTTGACTTTCCTTTGCAGCCTTGGCAGAGGAAGAAGACAATGACCACAAGGGTCGTAGAGACAGAAGCGTTTACCTAGTATAGGGGAGATTATACTAGTACTTTTGCCTGTCCTTCGGCTTCTTTAGTTGCTTCGCTCTTGAACTATGAAGAGAGAAGAAGCAGAGGACAGAGGACGCAACACAAACAAGAGAACTCGGAAACAGATATTAAGGGGGGTGTATTGGTTTAGGATTTCATAGGATTTTATAGAGCATTGAGGCAATCGATATGCATACCACTTTGCACCTACTCCTCCACAGGTTAGACTATTAGGTCCAAATTCAGAATACATGAGGTGGTACCGTAGAAAAGGGAAGTCATACATTGATCCCGAAGAAATTAAAGACTCAATTATGGTATGTGCAGATTAGTAATTAAGATTTAATACAATGTTTTGTTAAAATATAAATTTGTAAATTAATTGTTTGATTTCTTCTATATGTAGGGAGATGTAACATAATGTTTGACATACTTGACATCTGCTAATGGCAGAGAAGAATTTTCACTTGAATCAGTCATAGAGTAAAGTAATCGTTATTATCCCTATCTGATGATTATGTTGCACGTTTTGTTGAGCCAGCTGAGGCAGCACCCCCTCCCTCTGATTCATGAGTTGGGGACTTTCAATGTTCCTCCATACTCTAGGGAGGCTGAAGGTTTATCGCGACGAAGAACGACAATTGAGACTATGGATCACACATACCCTACGTTGCTAGAAAGAGTAGCAGGGTTGTACTATATTCCTTCACAAGAGGCCAGTTATCCTTCTCAATCACAATCTACATATTGGTACACACCACCACACAAATTTCTCCATTTTTCTTTTGATATTCCTCTTATCCACCTTTCAACATCAGGGCTAGATTGACAAAACTTTTGCAAATTGCGATAAAAAATGTGTCTACATGATGTATACCTTGCATACAGATAATGAATAATGCACAATTAAAATATTTAAATTATTAAAAGCATTAAAATAAGCTTTCTTACCTAGTTTCACAAGCTGTTGTTTTAGTTTGACATCCTTGAATCGATTATTAAAATTACTTGCAATGTGCCTAATGCAATACTTGTGATATGCATTTGGCGGTCTCCAACCAAGTGCCTCATTGTCAATGGCTGATTTAATGCTACGATGTCGATCAGAAATTACACATATTCCTTGTTTATTTGTAATGTGTAAACGCAAATAACAATGTTCTTCCTCTTGCATTTGCTGTGGTTGAAGGAGAAACATTACTTGCGTGGTCATGGTTTTTCTCTCATTTGCGTTTACACATTACAAATAAACAAGGAATATGTGTAATTTCTGATCGACATCGTAGCATTAAATCAGCCATTGACAATGAGGCACTTGGTTGGAGACCGCCAAATGCATATCACAAGTATTGCATTAGGCACATTGCAAGTAATTTTAATAATCGATTCAAGGATGTCAAACTAAAACAACAGCTTGTGAAACTAGGTAAGAAAGCTTATTTTAATGCTTTTAATAATTTAAATATTTTAATTGTGCATTATTCATTATCTGTATGCAAGGTATACATCATGTAGACACATTTTTTATCGCAATTTGCAAAAGTTTTGTCAATCTAGCCCTGATGTTGAAAGGTGGATAAGAGGAATATCAAAAGAAAAATGGAGAAATTTGTGTGGTGGTGTGTACCAATATGTAGATTGTGATTGAGAAGGATAACTGGCCTCTTGTGAAGGAATATAGCACCTACTCCTCCACAGGTTAGACTATTAGGTCCAAATTCAGAATACATGAGGTGGTACCGTAGAAAAGGGAAGTCATACATTGATCCCGAAGAAATTAAAGACTCAATTATGGTATGTGCAGATTAGTAATTAAGAAAGAGACTGCCACCACAACCTTAAAATCATCCCCAGAAATGTGCACTCCGGTCATTTTGTAGAAAAAGTAGTATAGATTAAATTAAACCTACAGAAAAACAAAAATGTCATGGGTTCTCATATAATTAAGTAACTTTTAATACTAGCATAAACTTTGCAAAATTAAATTTAACTTCAAATTACTCACTTACCAAGTGACAGAAAACAATTCTTGAATTCACCAAAGAAAAAACAACACACTTCTTGTACCTCTTGTCGAGATGCAAGATCACACACCAGCCTAGCCCAGCAGCCCCAAGTCCCAACACCTGAAATACAACGGAAACATGACCATTGAAATTTGCATACAGCGGATTAGTATCCTCTATCATCATTCTTGTTCATGCATGCAATCAAAATAAATAAATAAAAAATTTTAAAAAAACATGAAAAAAACACCGGTTTGGAAAACAAGAAAACGCAAGTTCAAGAAAGAACCAAGACCCAGAACGTGAAAGAGGAATCAAAAACAGCAATAAGGACAGAGAAGGATCCAGTCTCATCATAGCACTCCAAAAAAAGAAAAACACCGGTTTTAAAAACAAGAAAACGCAAGTTCAAGAAAGAACCTAGACCCAGAAAGAGGAATCAAAAACAGCAATAAGGACAGAGAAGGATCCAGTCTCATCATAGCACTCCAAAAAAAGAAAAACACCGGTTTTAAAAACAAGAAAACGCAAGTTCAAGAAAGAACCTAGACCCAGAAAGAGGAATCAAAAACAGCAATGAGGACAGCGAAGGATCCAGTCTCTCATAGCACTCCAAACAGAAGAAAAAAAAAACAGAGAGAATCAAAAACCATAGAAACAAGAATCGAGTTAACTTCAAAATCAAAGAAGGAAAAGCAATCACAAGGTAAAGAAGAGAAAAGCAAGATCAAAGAAGGAAAAGTAATCACAAGGTAAAGAAAGAGAAAAGAAGGACATGGAAGAGGTACTACAGAACGCTTAAAATCCTAGTGAGTAACGAAGACAAACAACAACTGAAAAGTGATCGAACATGATTGACAGTGAAAAACCCAAACGAATGATGAGTGAAACAGAGTCGCACTATATTATAAATTGAGAGCAAGAGAGAGGAGAGGGGGGGG